GATAGCGACTCAAGTAAAATGCATTACATAAGGTTTGGCCGAGATGATATGGGTTTATTGGAGCGTTTTAAAATACTGGTAAGAGACTCCTTAAATTGAATGGGTTAGTATGCCATTTAAACATAGTTTCGCTTCTGTTTACGAAAATCTTAAAATATATTCATTGTATTTCAGGTGGTGGTGGTGGCGGGTTTTACTCCAGTGGAAGAAGTGGAAAGAATTTTAATGGAACCAAAGGATATGGTGGAGAAGGCGGTAAGGGGTTTATTCAGGGAGGGGTGGGTGGAAGAGCTAGGTATAACGATGTAGATGGTGGGTTTGGTGGAGGTGGTGGAGCTTATGGAGTGATAGGAGGAGGAGGAGGAGGAGGATACTCTGGGGGAGGCAGTGGAAATAATGGTGTTGACACCTGTGGTGGTGGGGGAGGCTCTTACAACGATGGAAACAACCAGGACAATGAATGTTGTTACAACAACGCTGGTCATGGTCAAGTGACTATTACGTTCCTGGAGTAAAAAAAGTTTATCTAATGTGATAATGGCACTTAGTATTGAGCTCTCATTGATTGACATTCTAATTGACTGATAGCACTCAGTTAAAGTGCCAAATAAAATGTAACTGTCTAATTTTTCAACCTTCTGTGAAACACGAAAGTCACCCATGTTATTTTTCATTTAGTTTACTTTTAGCCATCTTTTCTTTCGTTCATCTATTACATTAACTGAGCTCGGTGCTTTTTTTAGAGTTGAAAAGTAAAATAGGGTTCTAAAACCTGGGATAATGAAGAAATTTTTTTTTTCAGAAATCGAGTCTGACTCGTTATACTTTTTCACCGGGGTCTTAAGAAAAGATCACATTATCGCACAAACCAGTCATAACACTGTGCAACCTAAAACGATGAGAAACAATTCCAGATGATTATATCTTCTGGAAGCTTAGGATTTAATTTTTGACTGTTCTTTCATATCAATCCTTTGATACGAATCTTCACTGACCTTCTTTCACCAATCTTCAGTGAGATCAGTGAAGATTTTGAGATCAAACAGTAAAGACGCCTGTTACACTGTAACAGTCTGGAATCAGTATGACTTTTCGAACGTCACGCTAATCTTAACATCGAGAATGTGTTGTCAAATGATGAAGACTAAGACTAGGTTTACACTAGAAGAAATTGTTCCGGATTCGAGATGAATCCGAAACGTTTTGGTACCGGATTGATTTTGCCGTTTACACGAAAGTGGATGAATCCGAAATAAAAACTCCCCGGTTTGGTTGTGTCTCAGAAGATTTTGAATCCGGATTTTAATGTGGGAACTTTGAATCCGATAACTTTTAAATCCGGAAAGTATTGTCGTGTAACCGCCTTTTTTCTCGAATCCGGATATTATTTCGCCTGCAATCTTTTGAGTTTGCGGTGAAATCAAAAGGGAGGATCCGGTGCTAACACTGCTGGCGGTCCCTGGTTGCCTAGTCTTGTTGCAGGTTCAGGCGATAAATTTTATCATGTGTACCGCAGTATTTCTGAGGAAACGCAAGTTATTATTGCAAGGAAGTTTAACGTCAGCCACACTTAATCGCCGACGACGTAGATGGCTTGACATCTGTCCAACTCAAATTTGCCTCAGTGGCATCTGGATCTACTCTAGCCTTTTTTGGGGAGGCATTTTCACTTTGTCGATCGAACGACGAAACAACACTCGGCTTGGTAACCATTCCATTTCGAATGTTCCCAGAGTTGTCATTGTGTGTAAACGGTGAGGAATCCGAATATCCTTTCAGTGTAAACGCCTACGAATCCGAATACTCCAAAATTGATGAATCCGGAAACATTTACGAATCCGGAAAACTCTCCT